TTTATAAATTAATTAAATTTAACTGCCGTGCGAAATGGTTTGCCCTTTCTCGAGATATGAACACAATGCGGCAAAGTGCAGTATCAGCACCACCCCGGAATCCCCCCCACACACACAAAGTTGTTTTTCAATAACCGTGCCAGTAGGTGGCAGGCACAAAAACTCAGTCGTAGTGGCCTCCCCCCTCTTAATTGCTCTCGTATATCAGTTAGTTTTTGGGTAGCTAATCAACCCACACCTCGAACCCCTCCCGGCCATCATCATCCGCCTATCATTTTCACACAGCACACGCACACGGCCAATAAATAATAGAGGAACTAACAGCCATAGCAGATTTTATGCTTCATAAAAAAAGAGAAGCGAAAATAATATTACTTTATAGAGCGAAAAATTTTGAAAAGGATATCCGCGTCCTAGTATCTTACCCAAGGGACGACTACCCAACAATGCACATTGCGTGCCAATGCACTCGGGCCACAAATCATTCAGAAGGCACCCGAAAGGGTTAGAACATAGAAACAGGACTAGCCAGCCAGCCAGCCAGCCAGCCAGGGGCTGCAGGACCTGCCTGCAAGTTGATTTTCAAGTTTCTTACCACTTGCTGGCTTGGGAAAGTTTTTTGCTTTTGCCTTCCCGTTAAGGGATTCTGTTGCTTGGGGTTCCCCTTTTGGGTTACTTTGTTTGGGGTGTGGGCTTTGCCTCTAATATAAATTTTGACACCTGATAATTGCTTTTCAGTCGCTTCCGCGTTTTGTGTTGGATGCGACGACGACGACGACAGGTGCAGTGCCTCCCCAAACCAGCCCTGAAAAAAAGAGACTGCCCCCACCTGCCCCGCTTATTATCGCTGAACATGCAAAGGGAGACCCCAGGACTATCTGCGGATAGTTTGTTAGCTGCTTAACTGCCATAAATTATGAACAAATTCTTCGCTTTTACGACTCCCGTTTAATACTCCCGTGGACAAAAGTTTCGGATGAGTTATTGACGCAACCTCAAGGTTGTGCTGTGCCAGCCAACCGAGGAAATTGCCAATTAAAAGTCTATAAAAGTATATGATTATAGGGAAATCGATGCAAGTTTTAGCACCATTAAATGGAGATATTAACACAATGCAAGGGGAGAGAATGAGTTTAATGCCTAAAGTGTTGTGGAAGAATTGAAGGAGAACTAAAGCAAAAAGTAGCAGCAGAATAACAATATTCTCCGTCATATCAAAAGAAAGACAAGTGCTTGGATAAACCATATCAAACCATCAATTTCAAAGAGAACCCAAATAAAAACTACACTTAAAAATTAACACACTCTTCATAAGAGATCTCTGTTCTCTGTCCTTCTAAAGCTTCTCTTTTTTGCCATACTTCTCCCATTATTAATCTGTTCTTTTAAGGGAGTCAAAGCTTGCCACCATACTCAGCTTTCTGTGATCTCTCTCTAATATTTTACGCTCTTTGGCGTTTTTCGGGTTTCGCTCTTCAAAGCTCACACTCTCTGTCTGAAACCCTCTGAAAAAAACTTTGTCAAAGGTTTCGACTGACCAGCTGGCAGAGCCATCGATCATTTACGTTTCATTTCTCAAAGTGTTCAGTTCAAGTATCGAAAGTTATAATTGATATTTCGGATATCCTTTTCTTACATGTAGCAGTGTTGTAGTGAAGTCCTCTTTCCTTGAAGTCCTTTTTTCTTGAAGTCCTTTTTTCTAATGTGATTTTTAATGATTGAAGTAAAGTGCAGTAAAGTAAAAACTTTTTTTATTATTTTTGTGAGACTTTTATTCGGGTTTTCCATTTTATTTCTCAACACGGTAGATCCAATTGGCATAGAAGGGCATTTCCGCATAAAAGTCTTGCAGGAAAGTGTCCACATGGTCAAGAGATCGATTTGTGATCCAATATTGTGTTAAATCGTTTTTAATTGTGAGTCTTAGCTCAAATTAACTAAGGGTGAGTGAATTTTAGCAATTTATTTGCGTCCAACATTATTTTACATATTTTCGAATACTTGCAAAAGTTCGTATACAATTTTCTCTGCTTTAATTAATGATATCTGTTAGTCAAAAATCATAAAAGAAATTGCTTCATAATTATAATTTATATAATAATAATATTATATTATTATATAATATTTTATTGCAAAAGAAAAACCAAGTTAGAGTCCGACAACATATCCACAGTTAAAGTTGAATTGTTATGCAACCAAAACGTGTATTTTAAACTCTCCGAAAAGTAAACCTAAACCTAAATTAATTGCATTTCTTGTCATTCACCTACAAATCTCTGCTGTCTATATACAGCTGTGTTCACTGAAGTAGTAGTGCCGCACCTCACCAGTTTCAAAACTATTTTTAAGACATTTTCAAATTCCAAATTAAACAAGTGATATCTTTATAGAATGCCTGAAATGTACGCATTAGAAACCAGAAGGAATCCTGGAAAATTTGCATTCCATCTTCTTGTTTTACATGACTTTACAAAAATACCCATGAAAAGTGTTGCTCAATGAAATAGTAGTGAGTTTTTAAAAATCGATAAAAAAAACCCAAACTTAAGTTAATACCCACCCATCTTTCATGTTTCACATATTTCTTGAGGTTTAATATTTAGTTTTTTGTATAAATTTTGATTTAATTTCTTCCTTGCTCCAGCCTTAAATAAATCAGTAAGGTCCTGCCCAAGCTTTAATAGGATTTTAGCCAATAACTTTATAACCACTGGCTCTCAATTTTCTCTGGTTGCCGGAATTGCAAATATTTGCATTTGGCATTTGGCATTCCCCCATAGGATTTTGATCACATTCAGATCCAGGGACTGATTTTAGCATGGAAAAAAGCCGATCTTTTCAGCTGAAACACCATTTCTGGCAAGCTTGTTGACAGATCCTTTTTAAAGGTTTTTTAACTGGAATATGAATATAATGTATGAAAAAGTATTTTGTGTAATACTCCAACGAAAGGATTGGAAGTAGCACTTCATATGGGCTGGAACTCATAGGGCTCAACCCAACATGCCCAATACTGTTTTTTCAAGAATTTCACTAATCTGATGTTTGTGAACGCCAAACAAACTTTTTTCAATTAAATAATATCTAGTCAGTCGTATACTAACTGTCATAACTGATTTACAGAGCGATATATGATGGTTTTAATAACTTTTGAGGATATTGAAGGCCATGACTTGCCTTTGACCATCTTCGACCAACCTCTAAACCTCTTTTTTCGCATAAAAGATAAGTTTTAAGGGATCTTCTTCTAGTTAAAAGGGTTAATTGCAATAGTAAGAGCACATTCAACTTAGTTTTCAATTCAATCATACCTCTTGGCTTTAGTTTTTAATCAAAATCTTAGGTATCCTCTACTGGAGCTAACAATGATTTTTTCAAAGCTTCAAAAATAAAAATACAGCCTTGTCCAAACATTTCTTACATCAAAACATTTAATATAATCTATTAAGTTTATTGATGGCGACTTTTTGTAATTTATTTGTTGTGTTTTTTAGTTGTTTTGAAGTACTTGCACTTAGCACTACAAAAGTTATGAAAAACAAGAAGATGGAATGCAAACGTGTTTTTTTTTTTCTTTTCTTTTCTTTTCTTTTCTTCAATAAGGTATCATTTGTTTAAATTGAAAGTCTGGAAGTGTCTCAAAGGAGTTTTAGAATGTGAGGAGGTCCTATTTCATTGAACACAACTGTATGTCTGATATATGTGTGTATCAGACTTGCACTCATCCGTTTATTAATAATGTAACCCAAATCGTAGCATTCTCTTGGCAGTTGAAACTTTTGCTGGCGCCCCTTAGAACTAATCATTGACCAAATTGTTGAGATTGTTCCGAGTTCCTGCCACTTGTCACTGTCTCTGGGTATCTGTATCACAGTGTCTCTCGCTGTCTATCTCTCTCTCTGACCCTCTGCAACCCAGTTTCTCCCCCCCACCACTCTGTTCCTGCTTCTGTGTGACTGCCTTCATCTATGCCCCTTCTGTTGCTATATGTTTGCCTCTGCTGCCCCTCTGTTTCTGTGGGCAGTTCTACGAATCATAAATTTAATATGACACCTACAGGATGCATCAACCTAAGTACTCCCCTTCGCTGCACTTCTCTCGCTCCCTGCCATACGTCCCTCGCTTTGTCATATGCATTATTCACACATATTTTGCTAATTAGCAAAATATTGTAAATGTTTGGATTTATGCGAGCGCAGGCACACATGCACCCACACAAACACACCCGAACTGAGGCACACACCCACACACACATGCACTCCCCGGTTGCATGCATGTCCCACCCCACATGCCGTTGGGCGAGTGTTGGCCTAACGGAGCAGTGCATCAATATGAACCGCAATGGTTTTTGGTCGGCTCACATAGCTGCCCAAGTCTACCTTCCAGCCACTCCACACCCCACACCCCACTCCCCTCTCCTTTGCAACTGTGCGGCTGTGTGGGTGTGTCTCCGTATCCATGCGCGTGTGTGTGTGTGTGTGTGTGTGAGTCATTTGTGTTGATTTAATGCCTCATGGTGTCGGTATTCTGGCTTCTGGGATAACTGAGGAGTTGCCTGCAGCTCCACAGCCTCTCCGGGGCAGGTGCTATGGCGGCGGTTCGTAGGCTGCAGCTTTGCGGCAACTATAAATTTCGGTTTGGCTTTCAATCGACCGCCAAACGAGGGAATTATATTCAATTTTCTGCTGACAGGTGCCTACTGGCGCCCCAACATACGACACCAGTTGTCAGCAGATGATACACCAGCCAGCTGCAACAGCCAGACCCTCAGACTGACACCCGTTCTACACACTCTCCATCTGGCAGTTTGTTTACTCAAGATATTCAACGCACTTTTGTTTAGATTTGTCGCGACAATTTCCTGTATATTTTCCCTTGAGATCAGTTGCTCTATTGCATGGGAATCGTATCAGTTCTCCCCTTTCAAAGCCCCTCCCTGCCATGAAATGAAATCGAATGTGGTGCAGGTGCCATCTCAGCCCTTTTGGCTGAGCTTTTGTTTATTCTGAGAGTCGCATCACTTTCAATGGAACCCCTTGGCTGGGTCTGAGTATCATATTGCCTTTGTTTATCGGCAGCTCGTCTGGGAATCCGGGCACGCAGCTAAACTGATATTGGGCTAGCAACTGGATGAGGCCTATTTTAATCAGCAGTCGGCCGAAATGCTGACCAATGCACTGTCGTGGCCCAGCGCCAAAGCCCAGGAAGGCCATGGAATGGCGCTGAAGGCAGTTGGAGACATCAAAGCGTTCCGGTCGGAATAGCTTTGGTTGGGGATAGATCTCTGCATCGTAGTGTATGGCATGGACAGGTATATGCACGATGGTGTCCTTGTCTAAAATCAATGGAATGTCTCCAGGGGCGGAGGGCAACGTATACTCCTCGGCAGTGATGCGTATCAGGGAGGCCAAGGCGGGGTATTTTCGTAGAGTTTCTGCAACCGAAAAATAAACTATTTGAGATTAAAATACTCTATCATACATTTTTTAAAAGATAAGAGATTGCACATAAGATTATAGAACATTTATCTCTCAGTTATCTTTGTCGTAACTGAACTGAAACCCACCTGTGATGGTCTGCTCCAAGTAGCGCATCTCCAGCATCGCCTCATACGTCAGTTGTCCGTGTTTGCGTAGAATAATTGTCAGTTCTTTTCGCAGCTTCTGCTGCACCGCTGGATGCTTGGCGAGCTCAAAGAGCGCACAAGTCAGGATGCTAGAGCTGGTCTCATAGCCAGACACAAAGAGCTCAAAGGTCTGGGATGTTAACTGTTCCAAAGTCAGGTCATTACCGACTAAGAGCTCCAAGTAGTCGTTCCTCTTGATATTCCCAAGCTGCCTTAACTCCATTTGCTCCTTGACAATGCGTCTAAAGTATTCCGTGATGTTTTTGTCATGGGACTGAATGGGCAGCTTTAACTTTGCCAAGATGCTCCAATAATATAATTTGAATAATCTCCAGCGAATATTTCCATCGCTATTTCGCAAGATCTTCTGTGCCTGCACTCGAAACTCCAGCTGGTCATCCCTGAGGCTGTTGATATGACTGCCAAATGCACACTTGGCCGAGGCATCCATGCTGTAGCAATCCAACAGTTCTTGCACATCCAAAACACATCCATGTGGGCTAACCAACTCCCTAAAGCGCTCCTCTAGGTTGTTGGCAGATTTTGTGATGGTTTCGAACATATTTTTCCGCATCATGCCGCTCGTGAAAATTTGTGCTTGCAATTTTCTGAGCTTAGACCATTCCTCGCCCTGAGCATTAAAGAGGTTATCCGTCAAGGTTTCATTGCAAGAGTTTTGGCGATCCACAAACTTGTCGCAGTCCTCAATCAGTATTCTTTTGGCCAGGTCCAAGTCCAAGACGACGGCTATGGGTCGTAAATAAATGTATGATCCAGCCAACAAAGCACTACCCTTGAAGGCTTCGTAGGTCTCCTGTAACAGCTCCGATAAGTGCAGCGACTTCAGCTTGACGAAATGTCCAAAGAGGAAGTGGGCCCGCAGCTGCTTCATCCCATTTATCTGCCAGTAGTTGTATTTGCAGCGCAAGTATCCGAGCACTCCGCTGAGCAGAGATGTCAGCAATATCAGCACGAATCCCATGTGAACATTCAGATAAGACTGAGTCGAAACCGGCTAACGGGTGTATCTTATAAAGATTGCAAGATTCTCCAGATAGTCTCCAGATAGGAAAAAAGCAACAACAAAAAACCTAAGCATATTCTCCCCCTATTTTATAAATATTGGTACAGCATAGAATAGAACAGTATCGCTTTTCTCCGGCTGGTGGCGCCAGCTAAACAATTTTGCTGCAGCTGCGGCATTAAGCAATGTAGAATGAGCCAGTTTCGCTACTCTCCATTGGGGGGCGCCAGTGCAAAATACTACTCCAGATGTCGCCTACAACCTTACACTTGTATGTGGTTCGAGTCCACGCTAAGCGGAAACGGAAATGCTGCAAGTCGAAAGTAGGCGCAAAGTTCAAATGTGCGAATTATGTTAGCTCCACAAATATTTACTTCTGTGCTCCCTCTTTTTAGAAACATTTTTAAACCTTCCCCAGATTTTTGTATTCACCATTTTAATTGTAAATATGTTTTAAATTATTAATTTTGCCAATATAGACCTGGGTTGGGTAGCTGGTAGCCATAATTATGACGCCAGAATGACTACAGACACACAAAAAGTGTACAGCAGAAAAGAAAGGAACTGACAAAAGGAGGGGAATTTGAAAAAAAAACAGAAAGAAAAAAGACAAAATATGAAACGCACTGCATACGAAAGTGGAATGCACAAAAAGCATAGGATATCAAAGCTCCTCCACTGCAAAGGCTCCAGATACAAAGGCTGTAAAAATTCCTTGCACTAAGCTAAAGCGAGAGCAAAAAAGAAAAATGGATAGGTTGGCTGTATGGATTTTCCTTTCAAAGGAAGCCATGGCCAAAGAGGGCTTCGGCATGCTAAAGCAATTTGCATTGCCATCCTTCTACCATTTAATGTGCATGTCAAATATGAATGTGGCAAAACTTATTGCGGTTCCCCATCATTAAACCGATCAATGTCACAATTCTGGAATTATATACCCAAACCATTGCCTACAATAAAATTGACGAATGGGTGTGCGAATTGACATGATCAAATGCATTCATCCATAAAATAACGGAGAGTTTTCAATATTTTATGGAAAATTAGGTATCATAATTGCCGACTGCAACGAGAGAGAGAGAGAGAGAGAGAGAGAGAATATTCCTTAAAAATTCCTGGAAACGCAACCATTGCAATGAAAGACTAATTTTTCACTGCAGAATTTCTTGATCCAATTTTTACTTTAATTATATTTTTAATTGGACCTGTTTTAGGTTTCCATCCACTCATTTTCAATCATTTTCCCTTTGGTCAGCGCTTTTCTTTTAGCGGTTTCGCCCTGTTTTTGCCCCTAGAAAATGGCTCCTTTCTTTGCTTCTCGGCTTTTATGTGTCTTCGTTATGCATTTTTTTTTTTTTTTGTGGGATATACAGCACATGGTCTGCGGGCTTTATTAACTGCTCCTTTTGTGGGGGCATGCTAGAGAGAGAGATTGAGGGTTGGAGTGGGTGCAGCTGTTGGGGCAGCACTCTCTCCTGCAATCGTTTCACATGCCAATTTTTTGCCATTTACCATGCCGTTGTGTGAAATTCGAGTCAAAATGCCATGCCAGCAATTTGGACTCTATTTTTTGTGTTACGTACTATTTCTCTCTCTTTTTTCCCGCTTAACTCTTCAACTTTGGCGAGGAGTGGAGGAAAAAAAACTAACCGCGTTCCAGCACTCGGTTCACTCCGCGGCTCCTTTAATTGCCCACTCGGTGAAGTTTATGAGGGCAGCGGCAGACATTTAATTTATTTTAATAATTATTTTTTGTGTTCCACCCTGGCACAGGCCTCTCCTCTTTTCGACTCTCTGCTGCTCTGCGCTTTTTAAATTAAATTATAAAGTCGCGGGAGTTTTTTGTTGCGCTCAAATTTTTTTGAATGAAAATGAAAAATATGAAATTGTTGCCATGTGGATCGCTGGCAGAAAGCAAACAATAGCACTGTAGGATGGGGCAGGGCGGCAGTTTGGAGTGCATTTTGCGGTTCAGTAAATATTCGCTGGAGGCCTGGCTGCTGTAAAACCAAAAGAATTTCCAAAAATCAGCAGAATGAAATCCAATAATATAAAAGAGCAAATTCCTTAATCAGGTGCGAGGAAAATAGGGCTTATAGAATTTCATGGTTAAGAGAAATAAAAACTCAGGAAATCTCGCAAAAATCCTAGGACGAAGAAGTAGACGTCTGAAAGTTCGGCCTGGTGAGTGGGTTAAGACTTCGAATATTTTATTAACATATATTTATTTTGAATACAGGATGGAACATATTATGCGCTTATGGCCATTCGCGGCAGGCGTCATTGGGAAACACATAAGACATTCAGATTTACTTAAATCCATGGCATACTTTTGGGAGGTTCTTCATAACAAAGCTTGGCATACTTTCAGGTTGCTCGATTTTTGCCTTAATATTACAAAATTGCATACAGATCGGTAAAATAATACACAAACATGAGCTGAAGGCAAGGAACAGTATTTTTGTATGGTAAATATCTCGACCAAATGGGGGCAGATCCTGGCTGGAACTACTTTTTCAGTATCGCCAGGGTCCAGACTCTGGACTGGCAGATTGCGGACTGGCAGGTGTTCAATTTTAGCCAAAACCGACATTCTCGAATGACCTTTTTTGAGATGCTAATCGATGGCCTCCGATCGGTGCAGGACTTGCTATTCCAGGATTTTCAGGATCCAGGCTGTCCATCGACTACAGTTTGCTCCGATACCATGAAGGCGTGGCACGCCCTCATAAAAAAAAACGAGGAAGGCGTGTGAGACGCTTCTTACGCGTCGCAACTTTTATACCCGGTACTCAGTGGTACATCTGTACCTTAGAGGTTTTTACAAATTTTACATTTTCTCTACATATGTCATCTACATATGTACATCTAAATAACTTCTTACGTTAACACGCTCTTTTAGCTATTTCGATACATATTCTAGCTCGATATTTTTCATGTCCTAGCGATCGGTAGAAAATCCCCGAACAAGGACATTATCTTTAATATTTATATCTTAGTTTCTCCGCTTTTTGGGGGCCGATGTAGGTGAGAAATGGCATCTTGTAATCTGGAATCATTCTTGATTTGATGAAACCCCTGTCAAGGATCAAGGATATTTGCAAGCATCAAAAGGAACGATATATTCTGTTTTTCTGTAAGACGGCATTTTTGTTTATTTCGATTCTGTTAAATTAAGATGATATTACAATACATATAGTAAGTTAGGTATATATTATTTATCATACAGCTTGCAGTGCTTGGGAACTAAGCTAGAACGGATTTAAAAACAGGAATGATGCCATTCCAATAACTTAACACTAATTTTACATGATTTTCGTTTTGTTTTGTTTTCGGTTTGGAGTCAAGCTTAAGAACAGTTTTTATGTAGCTTTCGCGAATGGCTTAATTCTACATTTCTTATGATTTACATTCTAATACTTTGTATTTCCGTTATCCCTTCCATGAACCTTCCCCGACTCCATCTCCGTTTCCGATCCGATTCGATCCGAGCTCTTGCATCCATCTCTCCACCCACCTTAAATGCTATACAAACAACTTTTTACAGTAAGCGACTCCCAACATTCAGGCATAACTTAGTACATACAAAATAAATGAATTTTTTTTGACCGAATCGATTGCTTACCTTATAGTTTTTTTTTCTTAGTTTAACTAACTTTGGTTTTGCCTTTTGCAGATTTAATTTCATTTTTGTTTTTGTTTGTACAAATATTCAGAAATACTCAAACAGTAGTTCTGCCGATGAATTATCCATGCCACGTAGATAGATACGACAGGAAGAGGACTACGGGGAGGGCTAGAACATGCAGTAGGGGCTGAGTACCGCTCTTGAGGTCCTGCATTCGATCCAAATCATCTGTTAGGGACTTGGCATCGTGCTTGATAAGATGCGGACTCTTGCCCTCCGCTCGGTAGTTGCCACCAAGATCGGGTGCTAAAAAAAACAAAAAAGGAAATGGAAATGTCACCCATGATTGATTGAAATATTTATAGAATGCTTTGTGGGAGAGGCAGACCCAGCCCGCCCCTTTTGTTTCTGACTTAATCAACTGCCACATGCCACTTTATGATGTGCCCCTTCATATTGTTAGGACTTGAATGTCATCAATTGAATGTCCTTTTTCAATTATGCGCTTGCCACACGCCAACGGGCATAAACAATAGACACAGGATGCGTTTATGACCAGCCATTTGTAGCAGGCGACAGTGCGAAAGAGATAAAGCCACAGAATACGTACACCCAACAACAAACCCCAAACCCGAACTGTTTGTCAACTGGCGGAGCAGAAAGTATTGCATATAAAAAGGACACAACGCAGTTCCGGCCCTGACTGCCCCTGCACCACTTATTTATAACATTCTCACTTATACAGATCCCATTCCTCTCTCTCTCTCTCTCTGTCTTCCTCCCGAAAAAATCGAAAGTATTCCACCCACACTGCCCCACTGACTCGGCAAGAGTCCTTGCTGGCATTTTGTTTCAATTTCACTTGGCAGCATCGGAAAATTGTTTCGATTTTTATTGCTTAAGTGCGTTAAACCCTTGCGCCATGCATTCCAAACAGATCAGAGGAGCGAAGCGGAGCGGAGAGTACGTATCGCAATGGGTACGGGTACGGGGTATGGGGCTCTTTGGGTGCCATGGAAAGTGTGTGGCACTCGGGCATATCGGATGCTGGGGCGACGTCGGCGGAGGAGTGAGGCGAGCCGGAAAAGTGGAAAGGCTGTGTATTGTTTTTGCCATCAATTTATCCTGCAGTTTGTTTTTTGTCCAGTTTTGTCTTTCCCTCTGTGTTTTTTTCTTTTATTTGTTGTTTTTGCTGTTTGCTCGATTGTTTGTTTGTCCGGCAATCTGTTTCATTGGACATTTGTTTGCGTGCTGGGGCCCGGCCCGGCCCGGCCCGGCCCGGTTCCATCGTTTCTCTTTGTTTTTCGGCATTTTTTTCCTTTTGTTTTTT